AAAATAAATAGACAAAACTTATATATATTATTATTATTTAATGAAACATCCATGAATGAAAAAATGCTGCCTAAATACACACAATATCCATATATATATATATATATATATATATATATATATGAAAATGGAAGGTGGTGTCAGTGGTCAACACAGAGACAATTGTTTTTCATTTTTTCAAATTTTGTTTTAGGTTTTTCAACTTTGCTACCCTAAGTGTCAGTGGTCGTGTACAACTTAACCAATGTCGACAGGATCCAATCAAAGTAATTCCAACAACTATACGTCCAAGTATGTACATGCAGCTACATTCTTTTCCTTTTCCACAAATCTAATTTTCTAATTGTATTACAGTGTAACCCGGATATAAGAGAGTTGACAGGACTGGAGAAGAAGTCTCTTATATACGGGTTTCTCTTATATCCGCGTTTGGTCTATTTTGTTTAGGTAAGTATGGGCTCTAATTTGGGACCAGAGAAAATCTCTCTTATATCCGGGTTTCTCTTATATCCTGGTCTCTTATATCCGGGTTGCACTGTCTTATATTATAGGGTTTATTTTCATGTAGACTATTGTCATCATCTTTGTTATTGTTATCACAAGTTTCAGCCAATATGCCCTCCAGCCTTCATCAGGGAATTTCAATCTGACCCCTTTATTTAATCCTCAAGCTTATATTGTTTCACTGCTCATGTTTAGGGATATCTCTTCTAGTTCTACTTTTAATACTGCTCATTTATTTCTCACGACATTTCCATATTGAAAGGCTCACGGACTGAACTCCTCACAATTAGCATTATCATTAAATTCACAAACCAATGTTTTAATCCTCTAGTCTGTTGTCCCATTCTAGTGGTTCCCATACTGCTTTCCTCTGGGCTACATTTTCAGAATTCAAATCTGCTTGTACCTCACCAAATCTTATGAAATAAAAAGTGTATTTAAAAATAAAAAACAGAGAGATGGTTAAAAGGAGATAACAGCAGATTCAAAATCAGAACATTATTATTGATAACTATCTCCTCCAATTTGCAGACCCTAGTTATTATATTCTTAATACTCGATATAATGTGAAAATATCACAGTTATAAAATCAGTCAATAATTATTTATAACTATTTATACTGATGCTTATGCATGCAATTGCAAGTCATCTGTACTAATATTTTAAATTTTGAAAACATATTTATTTTTTGGTATATGAATTTTTTTAAACTGTTTCTAAATTTTTGATTATCTTTCAATCATTCCACATTACCTTCTATCCTCTTCCACGACCCCCTATGAGGATTGCTGCACTGTTTGGGAATCACTAGGTTAGACAATATCTTTATTGGATTAATGCACAAACTGAGCAGTACTAAAATAGTGGAATGTGAACTATTTACTGCTGTAGGTTTAATAAACAGTTGGTAAATTTATATTGTAACACCCGAGCGCTAATAACCCTTCAAATTTTTCCAAAATAGTCTTAATTCCGTGCAAATGTATATGCTTAACTCAAAACAACAATTAGATATTGAAAAAACCTACGTTTTTGGATGTTAACGACCAGAAATAATTGGACTTCTTCTCGCTCTTCTTGTCATCCCTTACCGGCTTATTGAGAGACATTTGTTGCTGTCTCATTTCGCGCACTTATACAATTTTGGCCTATTTACTCCCTTAACGAAATTAATACATGATGTTTTCTTTTTAATTTAAAGTTAACTTTTAACTTTCAGATGTATGAAAATAAGTGATAAGTGTAGTTTTTACTTAATTTTTTAAGAAGAAAGTTAACTTTCAAATATATGAAAATATCGACAAATAAAAGAATAACAAAGTAATTTTCAAATGTATGAAATTAATTAAGACTATTTTGGAATAGGGTTATTAGCGCTCGGGTGTTACAATATAAATTTACCAAACAGTTTAATAAATAAATAGTGTTTATTATTTTTCTCAATTCCTAAGAAAAAATGCATACCATTTTTTTCATATGTTTAGGTTTTATTATAATTCTGATTATCACATTTTTAAACAAGAAATATTACTAAAGAATGAGGGTAGTTATAATAAAAGTGGTGTTATGGGAAAAACATTCCTTTTCCAACTTCATTTTTTGTTATTTTTTGTAGGTACAAACCTGCCTTTTTTTATAATATTGGATCTGAGATTATGTACCTGTATTTTTTCAATTATTTTAAAGTCTCTTTTAATAATATTTTGTACAAACTATCATGTTCGTTTGTTTGCTTAAAATTACACTTTATGTGATGTTACAGCTTTGCCACCCATTGCACCAGTGGACACCTGTCAATTGCCTTTGAAACCTGCAACTCCAGTATCTCCTGTGAAATTGGGCCTACGTTTTGGTTCAAGTCAGAGCCACAGTTGGTGGGAAATTGATGTGTCTCTAAAAGACAAAAAACGGTATGTGTTTTCCCTTTTTTACTCTTTTGGCAGAGATATTTTTGTATTGATTATTATTGATGTTATTATAGACATTTCGACCAAGTACCCTCCGGATATCATCAGGTCTGCATTATTTTGACTGATGTGGAATATCTGTTGATTATTGAATTATTTTATCCCTGTGAATGCCAATTATTATTTGTTCCTCCTGAATCAGTGTTTCACTATCTTATCCAGAGATTGAACTCTGAACCTGATAATTGAAGTTTATTGACAATCATCTCAGACATTAAATATGGAATATTACTGCCATATATAGACAGGGGCTGCTCAGACTTCACATTCCATTCTTGATAGTGTTCAAAAGCATCTCTATGTCCTTGTGAGTGATCAATTATTTTCCACACCGTGACAACTTTCTCACAGATGAAATGCCATAAACCTTTTGCTGCTCTGTTGCTATTTCCAGAGAAAGTGTTCAGATGAACTAAATTCCTTAGTTCCATCACTTCTAATCTTCATGGCTAAGACCTGCTATTTCATGCCAGGCACATTTAGGCAAACAACACCATCCCTTCATATTTCATTGGTGAGATGCAAACATCACCCAAGTATCTTCTTCTCAGGAACCATTGCTTAGTGGAACTGATTCCCAAGAGGATGCTACCCATATCATCAATAGAACCAATTTAATTCTCATCTTCATCTGCAAAGAGACTGTCCAGCATTCACTGCCATATAGGAGATTAGATATTACATTGCAATCAAGAACTCTTCTTTGTTTCTAGAGATACTTTCTTATCTCTTAATACTTTGCTTACTTTCTGAAAGGCATGAGCAGATTGTCCAGAATTCACTGCCATATAGCATTACATAGCAGTCTAGAACTCTTTGTTTCTAGGGGTATTTTCCTATCTCTTAATACTTTGCTTACTTTCTGAAAAGCATGAGCCATATAGGAGATTAGGTATTATATAATCATTTTCTACACTCCTGTTTCTCATGAAAGTTTTCTGTTTCTTATTTTACTGTTTAGTTTTTGGAAGGCATTCTTTTTGTTCACATTTTTTTGATTTCTGTGTCACATTTCCTGTGACCTCTTACTACACGACCGAAATAGTTATAATTTCTGTACTGGCTTGATTTTGACATTTCCAGTATGTAGCCCACACTTTGGGGCGTATCTTTTGCTAACCATCTCCATTGCTAACTATATCTCCATTTCAACTCTTAGCATAACCAATCTTCTATACGCCATGTCCCTTCAGGATATGGGCGATCATACTTCCCACAATTACCTGCCTTTTGCAGCTCTTAGCAATATTTTTCTTTTGGCTATCTCTCCTAATCCCAATACTTCCAACCATCTATGCTACTTCATGTATTCACTGCTTTCCTCTGTCACTTTTGCATTCAACACATCCTGTGAGTGTCAGTTTTTCTAAGCCCTCTTTCCTCATTATATTCTCTGAAAAATTTGTCTTTTGGCTATCTTTGCTAATCCCTATTCTTCCAACCATTTATGCTACTTCATGTATTCACTGCTTTCCTCTGTCACCTTTGCATTCAACACATCCTGTGAGTGCTAGTTTTCCTGAGCCTTCTTTCCTCATTATATGCTCTTAAAATTTTAATTTTCTCTTTCTGGTGTTAAATATGTGTCCTTTTTGTCTTTTTCTGTTACCTCAAATCTCTTCATCATCTGTAAGGAGATTGTCTTGCATTCACTGCCATATTGGAGGGCTATAATTTATAACAATCCAGTAATTATCACTACAAAAATTTGAAATTAATTTCATGGCTGATGCTAACCTCCAGGAGAGTGACATTGAGCTTTTCTCAGACTAATAACCTAAAAGAGTTAAAATACAGTTACAAAATATGAAATTAGTCTCAATAGTTGATATATATCTTCTTTATTTTCTCTAGAAATGCTTTCCAGTTCTACTTCCGAACATTTTCAACTGAAGGCATTCTTCTATATGCTGCTGACAAGAAACACAATGATTTTATTTCTGTCTATCTGCAAAATGGTCAAGTAGTCTATGCCTTTGACTGCGGAAGTGGAATGGCTATCCTCAAGTCAAGCAAAAAATATAACAATGGAATTTGGCATAAGGTCAGTTGGTTTATTTTAAGCCTCATTTTTTCTCTACTTCATTTACTTTTCATTTTTTTTTATTATGGTAGCTCCAATTTTTTTACCTACTCTCATATCTTGAAATTGTTTTTTAAAAAATTGTTCAAAAATATTTTCTTGTTTTGACATGTCCATTTTTATTTTTTAATATATATATATATATATATATATATATATATATAATAATGGACTCTCACATCGGTTTCAATGTATGAGGATCTGACAGCTTACTTGGTTCAGTTATGAAATTTTGTGCAATAATCTTAAGAAGCATTTAAGACCCGCTAGTGATTTACAAAGGAGGCCACATATGGAGCAAATTGTGAGATGAGATCACTGTTAGATTGGCTGACTTTTTAGATTTTGCTCTCACTTCTTGAAGATGATTCAGACAAGCAGATTGAAAATTGCTGAGTCCACTAAAACACATTGATCTCCATTTTAACTGCTCCAAGGCTAACCGCTCAAGGGTGTTATGTGGTATATTGACTGCTTTCAGCTTGTCTTTGTATCTTAGCCATGGGCATCCTACATTCCTGTAGCCCTGATCTAATTGACTGTACATTAGGTTCTTGGGTATCCTGTCATCAGACATTCTCAAGACATGACCAGTCCACCATAACTGAGACTGTGTGATAAAAGTCTCGATTCCTCCAATATTACACCAGTTAAACATATATATATATATATATATATATATATATACATAAAGATAAAGAATAAATAGGAAACCTTTATAATGTTTCACTTTTATTAAAACTTCATCAAATGAGGGGATATGGAGAAAATGAAGAATAGCATTCTGGTATTTTTTCTTTTGTATTGTTTTATTTTCATTGGTCAATTAGGTTTCATATTGTTATATTCCGTGCTAATAGGAATATATACTTGAAAAACAAGGTGCATAAAATAAGTAAAGTTTTATTATAAAAAACCAGTACAATAAGAATAAAGGTAAGAGTTATGCACAAGTCGTCGCAAGTCAATCCAGTAGGGAGTGTTACAATTGGAAGGTCGGTAGTTCTCATGTAAATCTGAGTCATACTCAACAGATCACAAGTAGACTCTGTAGTCTGTCAACCTACAGATACTTATAGGTAGTTACTACCTATAGTGTAGTTACTGGTGGGGATGACAGGATATTCCATTACATCACATATGTATTCGGCTTGTTAAATAAATGTTAGTATAATTTATGGCATTCCAAATTCAAGGAGATGATGCATTCATTTGAAGTTCCAAGAAATTAACAGATTAAACTTAAAAACTGTAAATATTGCTTTATGTATGTAAGTGTACAATAATTCTAGTTTGCCTATATGAGAATCAGATGATAATGTATATTTGTAAATGCGTATGTATGTCTAGTAGACATTGGTGGATTTTGGCATGTTGATTTGGGTACATTTTTACATAGATAATGTTTGTTTTAGATAAGCATATGTTAGTTTTCAAGAATGCATTCAATAAAGGTCTTTCTCCATATTTCATTCTCTGATGAAGCAACTATAAAAGTGAAAAATGTTAGATTGATAAACATTTCCTATTTGTTCTTTATCTTATCATTCTGTCAAACTCTGATCCATATTTGATTTGTATTTGATTCCACCTCTCTCTTTTATATACACACACATATATATATATATATATATATATATATATATATATACATATAACCTTACTTATGCTTTCACAAGTTATATTGAATGATTGATTTGTATTTGATTCCACCTCTCGCTCTTTATACACACACACACACACACACATATATATATATATATATATATATATATATATATATATATAATTACTTATGCTTTCACAAGTTATATTGAATGATTGATTTGTATTTGATTCCACCTCTCGCTCTTTATACACACACACACACACACACACACACATATATATATATATATATATATAATCTTACTTATGCTTTCACAAGTTATATTGAATGATTGATTTGTATTTGATTCCACCTCTCGCTCTTTATACACACACACACACACACACACACACACACATATATATATATATAATCTTACTTATGCTTTCACAAGTTATATTGAATGATTGATTTGTTTTATGATACAAGTCCTACAATTTAACTCATAGTTAGGATGAGAAGAAGATGCTTCATACCTTACCCAAGAAGGTATTTGTTCATAAGTGAATACAGTGAACCAACTAGAATTCAAACTCTGCACTCCAATATACAACTATCAACAATTATCCATTACACCATCCACACATTCAATCTGACAGCACCTGGTATTTCTAAGTGGCTACCCATCTAGGTACTGACCAGGACCGACATTGCTTAACTTTAGTGATTATACAGGCATGAGTGTTTTCTTATGTCCATTTTTTATTGCTTTAATATATATTTTTTCTTAATCGGTATCACCCCATGCAAAGTAGTAAAGTCACTAAGACACAAGCTGTTACAGGGTGTGATAGAATTAGGAAGAGAAATATTAATAATGAGCAGGAAAAGGAAAGAGTCATCAGAAGGACAGTAGATAGTGATTGACATTGCATTTAAATTTTTGCAAATTAAAGTTGACTGGAAAACATAGAGAAGGAAGGGAGCTCCAAAAGCGAAAAGTGTGAGAAAAGAAACTGTTAGCATAGAATTTATAGTTATGTCTAGCCAGCTCACCTATAAATTGATGAGGTATTGATGCCAGTGTAGTACTAAAAGGTCTAGGTACCATAGCAATCTGAGTTCATCTGAACAATTTCTATAAAAGCTGTCGGGGCGCACCTACCTTCTCATCAGAATGGACTGATCTCTCTACTAATAATAGGACAGTTCTATAGAGTTCTGGGAAGATCAGGTGACCATCACACTTCTGTCTCTCTACCAGAAGATACAGTTGGACTTTATACTCTTTCTGATTGTTACCGACTAACCTGCGTTCGTTTGACTACTAATCTCTCTGTTGTAAATACCTCTTCGAATATACCAGTATTTTTCTGTACGTATGTGTTTGTCCTTATTTCAATACACGCATGGGAAAAAACTCAACATCACAACAAAAGCATATATAGAAAAGGCACAGGGAGGCAACCTTACAGCAATGGGGAAAGGAACTGAAACCAAATTGCCAGATCAGGACACATAATATTGCTGATTCTTCATTGGATTTTATCTAGGAGCTCTAGGTAAATAGCAGGGACATCAGACCATATGTGGCAGCAATGTTCTAAGCATAGGAGAATGGTAGACCTATAGATATGTAAAATAGATTCTGGAGAGAATAATTGTCTCACCCGACACGGTGAAACAACTTTCTTAGCAGCTGACCTAGCAATGGATTTAATATAGTCTTTCTACTTCATGCCAGCTGAGAAGATTAGTCCAAGAAGGTGCAACCAGTCTCTTTCCTGGAGGTTAGCATCAGCCAAGCTTATGGAAGGCACAGAGGGGTCTCTCAGATGATTAATGGAGAGAAGTTTAGTTTTGGAGGTGTTAAAATTAAAAACCTATCTTTTGCTCTAGCTGCCAACACACTTGAGGTCATTTTGGACATCAGCCATTTTGACCTTGTCAGACTAACCAGCCTTACTATCAACACAGGAGTAAATGGTTGTGTCATCAGCATAGATATAAATTTGAGAGCTGATGTCATAGGGAAGGTCAATAATGAAATTAAAAACAGGGTAGGACCAAGGATGGATCAATGGGGAACACCTGCGTTAGTACAAAAGGATTTAGATGAGTAACCATTCAAGATAACCTTTATTTAATGATTTGATTAAAGACTGGATCAGTTCAAAAATGTGTCTGGAAACACTGTAACTTTTAAGCGTGTGGAGAAGACCTGTATGCCAAACTCTGGACATCTTGAATGTCTTTGATAATGCTACAGCTCCAGTTTCGTCTTTATCTAGAGCATGATAGCCTCTTTCCGCAATTATCGTCAGTACATCAGCAGTTGACCTAAAGAAACAAAAGCCATATTGCTTGTCAGAAAAAAAACCCTGCAATGCGAGATGATGAACCAATTTGGCATTGACTAGGGCCTCTGGGAGCTTCCCAAAAAGAGGTAGCTGGAATTATAAGACAGATCAAGAGAGTTCTTAAAAATTGGAGCAACAGATGATGACTTCCAACAGACAGAAAAGCAGGAGGCAGTGAGATATTTATTATACAGCTTAAAGAGAACAGGAGCCAGTTCCGGAGTATACTTCTTAATGACTATTACAGGGATACCATCAGATTCACATGCTTTAAGGGGATCTAGGTTAGAGAAACCATAGAATGGGTTCTATTTTATATGTTCTAAGTGGGAAGTTAGGCAGGGATTCTCCAGATGAGTCAACTGCAGAGCTTATATATATATATATATATATATATATATATATATATGACAAGAAATGTACACAGCAAACAGGAAGAAAACAACAAATCCAGAAATCTGTTTAGTGGAATTTCCAGGGAGTACTGCTTTTTGAGCTTGGTCCATGTGGTCACACCATCAACGCTAAACTGTACTGCCAGTAGCTAGACTACTTTGGTCAATTGAGGTCAGTTTTGTTTCAGCAAGACAATGCAAGCACACACACTGTCAGGTTGACAAGAAGGTCAAACAGATGGATGGTGTTGAGATTCTTCCACATCCATCATTCAGTCCCGATGCTGTTCAGAGTGACTATGGCCTATTCTGCTCAATGGCACACTTCCTCTACAACCAGTGATTCAACACTTTCGATGAAGTGAAGGAAGCTTGTTTACAGCTTTTTTTATTAAAAGCTAGTGGACTGGTATCTGGGACAGATTTGAATGCTGGCTGATCACTGGCAGAAGGTCCTTGGGAATGATGGTCTTTATTTTGAAATATAAATATTGGTTGCTCCATAAAATTTTGTTGCTTTCTTCTGCTTCCTAAATGAGTCACGATTTTCTGGCCAACCTAATATATAACAATTACAGACTTAACAACCACTCCCTCTGCTTACGGAGAAATGGCTGGTGGGACTTAATCTAAATTGATTCCAACACCTTCAAATGAAATTCTGAAATAACCTTACACAGTACTGAGAACGTCTTGGGTGCAAGTTTGAGCACATTGTTGGTTTTGTTCAGCTATCGCCAAACCAGTTCTATTCATGCACTTATGCAAATTATACATCTTGTCATTGCAATATTTGGCTGATAGGTTCTGACTGATCCTTGCTTCCAACCTTTGACCCCTTCTACCTATATAGTCATTTGAATTGGTTAGTTACTGAACTGATATGTAAGGAAAACAGAACATTCTTCTAGATTGGTGTCAACATTGTGTGGACACAAAGATAATGCTTGGATTGGCAAACAGATGACTGTTTTCATGTGCTGAAATTTGTCAAGCAAACTTTGTATTTGCATATTCAAACTACAGTATATACAAATAGACTGCACACACACACATGTACATATATATATATATATATATATATATATATATATTATACTTGTATTTTGATTGGTCACTTCAGCTCATGTGACAGTGTTTCCCCTTACGAGGGGTGGTTAATTAATTTGAACCTTTTAAAACCTTTATTCTACAATCTACATTCAACATCATCACTTGATAAGACACCAGAGGTGTTGAAACAAAATGGCTATTTTTGTAGTGATTTTATAACATATTTATGTCATAATTTTTAAATAAATTATTATCAAATCTTAGTATCATATAAATGGCTCCTGACGAGACTTGAACTCACGTCCCAAACTTTTGAAACTGGTCTTTTATGAACATTGTCTTAATGACTTAAAGGAAACTACAAGAATTTGTACAAAAGATGGTGAAGGAAAGAAAGAAGAAAAGACTAAACATCAATTACATGAAGACTGAATGCATTGTTGTTAGCAAAAGGAATAGACCAACATGCAGATTACAAATTGGAGATACCAAAATCAAACACATAAAACAATTTAAATATCTGGGAAGTGTTTTAACTAAGGACAGAAAGTGTGACACTAAAATCTGAAAGTGCATTGGAATAGCAAAAGATGACTTTGAAAAGTTAAGCAAAGTATTAAAAAACTAGAAAATTTCATGAGAAGAGTATTGAACTGTTATATAATATCAGTCCTCAGTTAGGTATAAAAGAGGGATCCAGATGGGGATGTGGGCTTTTATGATTATAAACAATTGCACTTAGTTAACCTAAAAGAGAAAAGTGGAGGAAGAATCTCGACTTTAGTTTTCTGTCCTTGAAATACATATCCTGCACACCTTAACAGCAAAAAAATGGGAACACACACACAAATAATGGGAATGAAAACTTGCTTCACTTTTTCTTTGTTTTCTTCTAAGAATTCTGTTTTTTTACCAGGTGGATGTTACTCGAGATAAAAAAGTTGGACAGTTGAGTGTCGACAATGCAGTCAATCCTAGAGTCTCATCTACTGGCCAATCTACAGAACTGAATATCATTCAACCCATTATTTTTGGTGGAATCAGTGAAGAAATTTCAACAAATGCTCAATTTGCAAAGAACATTCCGGTAAGTAATAAAATTTGCAGTTATTTTCCTTTCTTTTTATTAGTTACCATCGCAGTATTCACCAGGCTGGTTAATCCATCTCTTTCAAACAAACCTGCCATATCCAAATTAAAACTGATCAAAGCAGAGGCCATATGCATTGGAACATGTAAATACACAGTAGGATATTTCAATGCGAATTTGGATTCGCAAGTGGTCCCCATTCACATGTATACACACTTTGGGGATAGTGCAATCTGGTTTGAATTCAGAATTTCCTTTTCCTAGACTGGTTGCCACACAAGCAGATACAGTCTGTCCTGCTATTTTACCCATAGCTTGGGAGAAGAGAAATGGAGAGGATCCCAACTGCACTGTAGTAATCATTCTGTTCACTACTTAAAAGGAATAGACAATTCTCTGCTTATTTTACCATTTTTGTTATTTTTATATTAATTTAAACTTATGCATTTTTCTTCAGTGTTTGTGTGCTTCTATGTATGGATAGAATGTTGAGGTTATCTCTCCTTTTCATCATTTTTCATGTTTCCATAAATATACATACAGTGCTGTTCGATAAAAGTGACTCACCTAAATTTTTTTAATAAAAATATTTTTTGTCTATTGTTTTTGGGGTTAAAATAATTTTTAATCTTACTAATATAAAGACCCCTTCCCAACCACCTAGGAAAAAAGTTTATTCACCCTAAGGTATTCTATTGATAATTATAAATTTGGATATAAATGAGATTCAGGAAAAACCTCTATGCAAAAAAGTGACTCAGATATCGCATTCTAATGATTAAACTGGTAAATTTAAAGAACTTTTGACAAAATATTGAAAACTATTTTACAATACACTCAGAACAATATTCTATCAAATTCTAGAACAGCTTAAATTAAATCTAGAGTATTCCAGAAAGCCTCATACAGTATAAAAACTGCTTGAAATAGCCACTCAAGTCACTAACCAGATGAAAGGGTACAAATACGCATCAGAACCACTTAAGGCATCTATTATTGCCCTCTCAAAAGCAGGCAAGTCTACGAGAGAAATTGGAGAAACCACGCAATCAACTGTCTCTCGAGTGCTTAGGGCACATAATGATGACACTCCTGCTCCAAGGAAGGAAACAAGGGGACGAAAGAAAAAGATTGATGATAGAACTGGCAGGGTAATCAAGAGAGAAGTTGCAAAGAATAGGACTATAACTAGCCAAGAAATTGCAGCCAGTCTAAGCGAAGAACAAGGTGTTAGTCTTGCCTCTTCAACAGTCCGTCGGTGGCTGTTAGAACAAGGCATTATTATTGTACACGAAGGTTTAAGCCGCTAATAAGCAAAGCCAACAAAGCCAAGAGACTTGAATGGGCTCACTATTACAAAAATTTCACCGTAGAAGACTGGAAGAATGTTCTCTTCTCCGATGAAATGAAAGTTGAGCTAAAGTCAAAGGATAAGGTGAGTCACTTTTATCGAACCGCACTGTATTTTTTGTGAAATCATAATGAAATAATGTGCTTTCTTTTTAAATTTTTTTCTCTTTTAGATTTCAAATTACCAGTTTGTTGGATGTTTGAGAGATCTGAAAGTCCTCAATAAAGATATTTCTGATAGTGACGGCAGGGAACACAATGTAAAACCTTGTTATTCTCATGAAGAAAATGGAAAATTCATTGGATTTGGTGGTGGAAGCATTGTTGTTGGTAAGTAACTTTTTCCTAAATTATTGTGTAACAGTCATCATAAATAATTAAAGGATGTGGCCAATCCTGAGATCTCTTTACAGCATTGCTGTAATAAGTCACCTGATTGATCAATAGATGAGCCAATGACAACCCTGTCTCATTTCCACCTTGGTGGACAATTAAGAAACTCTATTTGATAACTGATGGTTGACAGGTAAAAATGTACAAGCTAGCTACTGACAAACAACCATGTCGAAAATTCATGATAAGTATATACTATTTTTAATAAATAGCTCTAATTATTTAGATATATATTTACTATTTGGTCAAGCGATCTTGGACATTCATGAGTCTGTACGCCCTGCATCAAGGTTGGAAGGTCATTAGGGTAGCATTCTGTGTCATAATATAGCTGGTCAATATAGGTATTTGCTGGACAACTAGTCCATCTTGCACCATGGCTATGAATTCAGTTTTAGAGGCATTGAGTCTAACATCATTAGCAGCATTTTCTAGATGATGTAGGAGAACTGTGGCATTGGTAATGGTGTTAGCAGTGATAGTTAGATCATCTGCATAGTCAATATCTGTCAATTTTTTCAGGATATCAACTTGAGAGTCATGGACTCATGATGTAAGATGACTTAGATGACTTGATGTAATCAGGTAATAAATTACTTTTTGTAAAGAACAATAAACATCCCAGATTTAATAGCTGCAGTCAAGTGAAGCTTCAGTCAAGAATGACAAGCAGCAGCAGCACTCATGAACAGGAAGGTTAGGTTTAAGGCTCCAAGTTCTCCACAGATTAAAGTGTTGCTTTATTAATTTGGTGGCATAGTAGTTGTGAGTTTAATCCCTGTGCTTGGCAGTGAGTACTTGGACTTGGTGGAAACTGAGTGAGCAATAACTAATCAGTACTAAATAAGAACAAGATGAGACAACATTAGACTCTGGCAGTGGAACAAGAGCAATCTACCCCTGTATATGAAATATTTCCTGTAAGTTACCCGGATCAACAAGTACTTGATAGAGGTCAGGAGGCACAACATCCAAAATGTGATAACAACAGCATAGATGAGGACAATAATCTGCACATAAATAATGATAACTATGCTTTCTCCCATCCAGTTCTAATCAAGTTAAGTAGTTTTCCATACTTTTTTCCCCTTTTTTTTTAAATCAACTAACCCTAAGCAAGGCAATAATGCCACTAAGACACAAGGGGCTGCTGGAAGTGAAAGAGAAGGAAAAACTTTAGAAGAAATTTTTGTAAAGAACAATAAACATCCCAGATTTAACAGCTGCAGTCAAGTGAAGCTTCAGTGGGTGCAGCCAGGCAGCAGCAGCTCTCATCAGCAGGAAGGTTAGGTTTAAGGCTCCAAGTTCTGCACAAAGAACAGCCTAGTGGATTAGAGTGTTAGTTCATGAAATTGGTGGCATAGTAGTTGTGTAAACAGGAAACAAGGAATAAATCTTTACTCTTAGTTTGATTTGGTTTATTTTGTTTTAACCTCAATGGTTATTTAATGTGGACAAGATTTTTATGATAGGTACATATGAATAGAATATCTATTCTTTGAAAGAAAACAGTTTGTAGATGAGGTTTCATTGATGTATTTTTGTAAAGTGGGTTCTTGTCAACAGTATTGCTGTTAATTTTTTTTTTCAAAAATGTATTGCTAGTATTTTTACTATAAAATTCTATTTTTATACTTCCATAGTGTTGTGACCTCAATTTGGGGGTTAACTATTTTCCCATAGCTGGGACCCTAACAGTTGCAACCACCCCAGGTCAGGGTTGACCCATGAACAACAGCAATTAAGAGGTGGTTCCATGCTCCTCAGAACCTCTTTATCAGAAGCCTAGCTGCCAGATGTACTTCATTGTCATACCCAGAATGCCTTTACTCTTGTACAAAAGACCTGGAGAGGAGTGTGATCAAACAAGAGGCAAACATACCTACACCTATTATCACTCCTTCACATAAAAATCTTATCTCTCACAATACTATAAGTCACTAAACAACATTTCAGGCATTACAATGACTTGATCAGTGCCTTTAACCTGTTGCAGTATGAAGTCCATAATATTTTTAAAAAATAAATTGTCTTACCTTTCAATATAGTGACATCTGCGATATCCCTAATGGGTCGGAATGTATATTGAGTGATGTTTCTGGTTCTTCTGAATTCTGTACAGTACACACAATTAATCTGCAGATGGATTAGTCCTCTACATGATGCCAAGTCCCTTCAGGACACAGGCAATCATGGCTCTCCACACCTCCCATTTCTTTTATTATTTGTGAATTGCCTATGTTGTATGTCAGGACATGGACAAACATGGCTTTCCATAGCTTCCTTTTGTTTATTATTTATGAAATGTAAATTTTGTGTGCTTTCAGGACAGAGGTGATTATGGTTCTCCACATATCCCTTTTCTTTATTATTTATGAACTGTCTATGTAGTATGGCTTTAGGGCATAGGCAAACATGGCTCTCCATAGCTTCCTTTTGTTTACTATTAATGAAATGTAAATTTCGTGTGCTTTCAGGACAGAGGTGATTATGGTTCTCCACATATCCCTTTTCTTTATTATTTGTGAACTGCCTATATAGTATGGCTTTAGGGCATAGGCAAACATGGCTCTCCATAGCTTCCTTTTGTTTACTATTAATGAAATGTAAATTTCGTGTGCTTTCAGGACAGAGGTGATTATGGTTCTCCACATATCCCTTTTCTTTATTATTTGTGAACTGCCTATATAGTATGGCTTTAGGGCATAGGCAAACATGGCTCTCCATAGCTTCCTTTTGTTTACTATTAATGAAATGTAAATTTCGTGTGCTTTCAGGATAGAGGTGATTATGGTTCTCCACATATCCCTTTTCTTTATTATTTGTGAACTGCCTATATAGTATGGCTTTAGGGCATAAGCGAACATGGCTCTCCATAGCTTCCTTTTGTTTACTATTTATGAAATGTAATTTTTGTTTATTATTTGTGTATTGTAAATATCATGTTCCTTCAGGATGTAGGCAATGATGGCTCTCTACATCTTCTTTTATTATCTGTGAACTGTAAATTGTCCTTCAGGACATAGACAGCCATGATGCTTCATAAACACCTTTTATTATCTGTGAATTGCCACACCTTCTTGAAAAGAGATAGTGGTATGGTTTCCTATTTCCTTCTTCTGTCCTTTCCTCAATCCTCTCAATACTCAGTCTTTTCTCTCACTTTCACTCTCTGTAAACCCTTGCATATTAGTGGCATTCCCACCTTGCTTGGGGGGGGGGAATGATTAAAAAAATATGTTTATAATGCACAAAACCAATGTTGAAAAATCGTTTTCTGAATAAGATTAAGTTTTAATAATGATTTCCAAATGGTAATAATAATATTAGACGTTTCCCTACAAGGAAACATTTGGCATTCATTGACTGAGCAGCCAATACTACTTTTGGTTGAAATTTATAAAATCTTCCTCTTAGAACAATTTTTCATGAAAACACGTTTCTCAAGCCCGGTAGCTGTTATTGCTCTTTCCAGTATTGATCTGGGTTTCCTTTGAAACCTTTTATTAAAGGGGTGTGGAATGTTAACATCATTATTTTTTCTTTGGAATACATGTGCTGTCCATTTTAATTGTTACCACTGTTGGCTGTCCTCAAGTAATGTAGTTTCTGTTATGTAGTATAGTTCTGTGGTTGGGATTCTGTACTGCCAGTTTACAATGTTCAAAGAGGAATGAACTTTGCTAAGGCTCTCAGGTTTTACTTGCTCAAAGGCTTTTTTCACCATTGATCTTAGGAAGCGGTTCTGTACAGTTGACAGTTTAGATATTTCTGAACGTGTTTGGTAAGACTACACAGTTGACTTGCCTCTGTCTTTTCTACACATATTCTAATGGCAACTGCTCTGACAAGCTTTTTTCCCTGGTGTCTCAACTACATCAATTTAAGAAAAAAAATGTTTGTAATGCACAAAGCCAATGTTGAAAAATCGTTTTCTGAATAAGATTAAGTTTTAATAATGATTTTCAAATGGTAATAATAATATTAGATGTTTCTCTACAAGGAGACATTTGACATTCATTGACTGAGCATACAATACTACTTTTGGTTGAAATTTATAAAATATATAGGAAAAAACACAGTATGTATTGGGTTTGGTTCTATCTGCAGTTTTAGGTCCTGATTGATTTATCTTGGAACAAAACATAGATAAACTAGTGTATCTCCTGGAATGTCTGACATTAAACTACTGATTTTGTGGTGGGTTCATGGCTGTTATATTGTTGATAGAAGTCAGACATAGAAGAAACGCAAGTAAGGTTCAGATACTCCTGCCTGCCCGGCCCAACTACATAAAAAGGTTGGACTTTGATTAAGTCCAAAGAAGAAGGCAAAGAAAGCAAACAAAACACAAGACCAATAATATATGTATATACAAATATATATTAATAACAAGTTACAATACATGGAAACAGTACAAAGGACGAAGTGTGTGTGAATATTCTGTATGTGCGTGCGTGTGTGAATATTCTGTGTGTGCGTGCATGTGTGTATATTGTGCTTAGCGTGTTTTCACGCTATTCCTTGTTAGCGACTACATTTCGAGGTTGATAGTTGAAATCCTGAAGGAAAAAGAGATAGAGGCCAAGGGTCAGCGGCTATTTATAGCCAGAAAAGAGAGACCCCTGGTGAAAGGTTTAACGGAGTGAAGGAGGAGTTAACGCCGACAATTTACTAGTCCACTTTAACAAATAATATTTGAGAATGAAAACCTATTTTTATTGCATTTAATTTTTTGTCTTCTTTCACATGTTTCATGATTTCTTTTTATTCATTTCTCTAGAGGAAAATTTCACTGTTGGCACAGACATGGAGCTGTCACTAGACATCAAGCCCCGAACCATAAATGGAATTTTGGCATCAGTGTCTGCTGACGATGACAACTATTTCTTACTGGAGTTGGTTGATGGCGCAGTAAGTTATTTTTTCTGATATTATGGCATGACTTTACAAATTTTCTTTTAAAATCATTTCACCCCAAGCAAGGCAATAAAACTACTAAGATGCAAGGAGTTACCAAGTGTTAGAGAATATAAGAAAAAAAACACTATTAAAGAGAGAGAACAATAAAAGAACAAGAATTAAGAAGTCAGAAAGTAACAATAGGCATTGCATTTAAATTTTTCAAGATCAAACTTTACTGGAAAGCAAGAAGCTGGAAGAGAGTTCCACAAGTGAGAAGTGTGATAGGAGAAACTGTTAACATAGAACTTATGATTACATCTAGCCATTTCAGCTGTAAAATGAAACCTTGCCACCAATCTAGTACTACACATAAAAAACTAGGTACCATAAAGGAAAGTAATATTTATTTTGAAAAATACAAAAATGTGACACAAGGCCAAAAGGGAGGGATAGGGTAAGGCTGGTCTTCAATCTGATTTGTCTTAAACTTTGCTAGCCACGGTTACTGACCCAAAACATACCACAGTGTTCCTTACACCAAAACAACACATTTTTAGTACAGCCACCATAATACTTCAGAGACTCTATGAACGAACTAACTAGCTCCCATATGTACCATAAAGGAAAGTAATATTTATTTTGAAAAATACAAAAATGTGGCACAAGACCAAAAGGGAGGGATAGGGTAAGGCTGGTTTTCAATCAGTCTTATCTTAAACTTAGCTAGCCATGTTTACTGACCAAAACATACCACAGTATTCCTTACACCAAAACTACACATTCTTACTTACCATTCTTACTACAGTCACCATAATACCTTTCAGTCTCTATATAGCCCCAACTAGTACAATTTGTCTGTGGTGGGTGGGGAGTAAAAATAAAAACTACATGAAGAAAAGTTAATCAGAACAATTACACTGAAAGTATTTATAGAAAAGTCACAGGGAAAACTACATTACAACAGTGGAAAATGGCTGAAAGCGAGATGCCAGGTCAGGACCAGTAACACTGCAGATTCTTTGGATTTTATCAAGAATCTCTAAATATATAGCAAAGACACCAGACCAAATGTTGCAGCAATATTCAAAACAATGATGAATGGTAGATTTATAAATATGTAAGCTAGATTCTGGCATGAAAAATTGCCTAACATGATACAGCTCAACATCTATTGCCTGGTTTGTGAGGCCAAAACATGAGAGAGGCATTCTTTTCTACAATTAGTGCAGGAGAGAAATTGACAACTGTTGGAGACCCTAAATTTGTGGAGCTTCCATTTTACTTCTGCTATTTTTGCTGTGGTTTTATTTGACCAAGAAGTTTGCTTGATAGATCCTAAACCTCCGTAACTCCTACAGAAGGTAACAAAAGAAAGCAAGAAGAAAGGACTAAACACCAATAGTAAAAAGACAGAATGTATGGTTTTCAGCAAAAAAATTTTCATTATTTTTCATTTATTAATTAATCCATCTTATTATTGTTGTTTTTCATCATAGCACTCAATTGATAAACTATTCAAATTTTAGTATCATAAAATAAGAAATAAAGGAATAGCTCCTGATGAGACTTGAACTCACACCCAAAACTTTGGAAACCTATCTTTCATGTTAGTGGAAAACATTAGCTCTAAGAAGGTGCAATGAGTCACTTTCAAGAGGTTAGCATCAGCCATGCTGATGGAAGGCAGAAACGGTTCTACCAGAGGATTAATAGAAAGCAGTTTCATTTTGGAGTCGTTAAAATTAACAAGCCATTCCTTGCCCCAGTTAACAACAGATTGTAGCATAATGTTAAAAAAAAGTATTTTCATTATTTTTCAGTTATTAATCAGTCTTACTATTGTTGCTTTTCATCATAGTACTATATATATTCAAATCGCCATTTATTATTTTTGTCATCAATTCTCAAGATCAAATAAAATGTATAAATGCACTTTCATATGTTTAGGTTTTATAAAAACTCTAGTCATCACTTTTGGAAACAATAAACATTGCCTAACATGCAAATTACAAAATACCAAAATCAAAGTCAGCTGCTAAGAAAGTTAGTTCACTATGCCATGATAGACAATTTTTTGCCAAAATCTTAGATGTCTATAAGTTGAACATTCAGTCATATTGCTGCTACATATGGTCCAGTGCTCCTGCTAGTTATCTAAAGTTTCTTGATTAAATCCAAAGAAGAATCAGCAATATTATTGGTCCTGGTCTGGCATCTCAGCTTCAGTCACTTTCCCACCACTGTAAGATTGCCTCCCTGTACCTTTTCTATAAATACTTTCAATTCAAATGAGTACTTTGCGATGCTACCCAGACTTTTTGAATTTAAGCGCAGTACTAGATTGGCAACAAGAGATCATCAATTTACAGTTGAATTGGCTAGATATAACTGTAAATTCTAGGCTAACAATTTCTTTTCTCTTACCTTTTGCTTGTGGAACTCCCTTCTGGCTCCATGGCCAACTTTCATCTCCAAAAATTTAAATGCAACATCAATCACTATGTACTGTCTTCCTGGTTACTTTTCTTTTCTTTTCACTCCTTCATAATGTTTCTGTTTCCCAATTCATCCACACCCAATAACCCTTTGTGTTGTAGTGGCTTTACTGCCTTGCTTGGGGTGAACTTAAAAAAAAAAAAAATTTAAAAAGTACAAAAATTGAAATATCTGGCAAGTGCTTTAACAGCAGGAAATCTTAAGAAAACACCAAAATCCAAAGGCTCACTGGAATAACCAAAGATGCCTTCCAAATATTAAGTAAAGTATAAAGAAACATGAAAATTTTATTAGAAACAAAGAAAAGAGTATTTAAGCAATAAATTTATTTAATCCAATACTATTTTTTTCACTATAAATTTTTAGTGGGCTCATGTGTTTGAGTAGAGATTTGTTTTATTTAAACAGTGCAATTAATGTCAACTGGCCTAGATTTTGAAAGAGAAAATATGCCTCCTGACAGAAATCAGGCTAGAATCTCAGTCTGAATTTCAGAAATCAGAAATTCTCCTCATCAAACACTGATTTATTCAGACTAATATCTTTATCTTGGTTGTTAGACTACTAAATGAGAACAGGCTATATGGAGAATGAATAGGTTATATCTGAAATTCCAAGATATTACAGTCACCTGAAGAAGAGTGGAGAACATAACAGAAAAAATGTTATGATATAACAACCAAAATGAGGACACAGGATAAAATAAATCAATGTATAGTAATTGAGACTTTTTACTGTCATAGCTTTTTTAAATATCTTAATGCATAATAAAAAAAACTTTTTATTGTAATATAATGATGTCTGTTTCCTGCCAAATGAGAAAAATGATGCTTTTTTCCTTAGCAGATGAGGAAATGTAATATTTCTCCCTCACCAGTTGGTCAAAGTAATATTTTCCAAACTATCAAATAATCCGAATAAAACAAAAAATGAAAAAACAATTATCAAATAATGTTATAGAGTAGTTTTCACAGTGGAGGCTTGTATTTCACTCAGTCGGTCCTAAATTAGGTTCGACGTACAAAACGTTAGGAACTTGATATAATAGTTAATGACGCAGCAATCTAGTTGTGGTGGCTGATACTTTAATGTCCGACATGGACTGATTCACACAACTCACTCAGCTCCCCTGGTGACTGCTACTATTACTACTACTTATCTGTGGGAGAGTCTATTAATAATAGAAATAGGTATGTTCCGGTATAATAAATAAGAAATTCACTGATGGATAATTTCTGAGGATCATACATTTACAATTTGAAAATTATATAATAAAGGAATTTTTTTATTGACTTCAGTTTATCAGCTTGACACAAATTTAAATGTAAACTTTTCAGATCCTCATAATTCCTGTCGCCAACAATCATGCAGTATAAAATACTTTAAATGTTATTTTGATACATTGCAGGTCTCCGCAACATTTAACAATGGCGCAGGTGCTTTCACTGTCAGAAGCACACCCAAACTGAAATATCACATTTGTGATGGGCAATGGCACACAGTAAAAGGTAAGAGGTTTTTCAACACTTAAAACAATGACCATGTCATGTTAGACAAGTTTTTCAAGTAGATCATCTTTCAAAAGTCCCATGTGTTTCATATATCCAAAGTTTTTGTAACTGTCTAGCAAACTGTTGACACAAGTATAAAATTTGCCAGTGTTTAGCAATGGACTCAAGTATAAAATTGTCCAGTGTTTAGCTATGGACTCAAGTATAAAATTGTCCAGTGTTTAGCTATGGACTCAAGTATAAACCTGATCAAGATTTACCTATGCCTCAATTATAATCCCAATCAATGTTTACTTAAGATTCAGTATAAACCCACCTAATGTTTACATATGGACTTGTGTATAATAAAAACTAACTTCAACATTATTACATTACAATAAGGTTTGATATATCATAAATTCTACCAATTTAACTCCACCTCTCAGATGACAGAATAGGTTGACATGTGCTACAACAAGCCTAAAATTAACCTGGAACTGTTAGAAATAGGGTAGATGGATAAAATAGATGATGAATTGTCAACCAAATTTAGACATTAAGATAAATTATATCCCATTTCACATAAATATGACTTTATAGTCGCATATTTACAGTGGGAACCATTAGTCAGTTTTCAAACAAAGGTAAAAAGTTATATATATATATATATATATATATATATATATATATATAAGTTATGAAAAACTTGGTAATCTGTATGGATATTCACAAGGAGGATGAAATCCTGAGAGCTCAATGTAAATACAGAGCTAATATTTTTTTCATTTTTTCGTTTCATCTTTTGGAAGTGCTATCTGATGACCCAGTGTCCTTTAAAGGGGCTCTGGTGAAATAAATTATTATAATGGAACCTTAAAGTGGTCTGTTTTGCTTTAATATATATATATAATTTTTTTTTAGTCATTTCACCCCAACCAAGGCAATAAAGCCACAAAGGTGCAAGGGGATACTGAGTGTTAGAGAATATGTGAACAGAAAAAATTATTAAGGAGAGAGAACAATAAAAGGGCAGGAATTATAATGACTTTAAGTATTTATAGAAAAGGCACAAATAAGCTAAGTTACAGTGATGGGAAAGTGACTGAAACCAAGATGCCAGGTAAAGACCAATAACATTTCAGATTCTTCCATGTATTTTATCAAGAATCTCTAAATCACAGAAGCACCAGACCAGATTTGGCAGCAATATTCAATAAAGAAGAAAACATTTAAGGACTAATTACATAGAAAAAACATGTAAACTAGAGAATGTGTTTTTGTGTGTGAAATGTGTGTAGGAGAAGTCTGAATGAAAAGCGTTACATTAAAGAAAGCAAAGTGAGCATGTGTGCCCTGATGATGTGTAGCAAAAAAGAAAGAAGAGTCTGACTGAGAATGTCATTACCTATTTATATGATTAAGGAGCAATCCCTAGTGACATTTTTTAATGAAGTTAAGTGGGGTAACTCCATATTTTCAATGAATTTATTTTTTTAGTACTGACTGTGAGACCCATCATTAGAGTGAATGAATTTTTTTTTATTTTCTTTGGTAACTCTAAGTTGTATTACTATGAAATGCATTACTAGTGTTTTATATATGCTATTTTTTGTTATTTGCAGTTTATAAATATAAAAACGTTTGCAAATTAGATGTTGATTTGGCCACATATGGTCCAGTTGTCGGAACTTCAGGTGTTGCATTTGCAAAAACAGAGGATCCGTTATACATTGGAGGAATTCCACGTAAGTAAATTTCATATGCCAATTTTATGTCTGTTTTTTTTATTCACTTATGAATTTTTCCTTTAGTATTAATTTAGACTAAGAAATCTTAATTTACCTTAGACTGATAAAAATTACCCTACAATACTCAAAAACCTTCTACCATGGACAAAGAAACATTAACTTACCTTGGACTAAGAAACCTTAATTTTATGGTATATCATGGACAGTTCAGACATTTCTGAAAGAGTTGGACACAATCAATATAGACGTCTAAATTTGATGAGTTTAAGGACATGACATTATTTCTTAGGTTAATGTTTTAGTTTTATAGTAACTTGAAGTTCTGGACAAAACTAACCCAAGCAAAAACTATTCCAGGTCCAATTTACTCAAGCAAAGCAATTTCCAGGTCCTATAAACTCTAGTACCAAATCTGGCCAGTTTACCTGTAGACTTGAGTATAATCCTAAAGAAGAATTTGATTTAAACCAAAGAAAACTAGAGTTGACCTTAGAGATATTGGTATTAAATTACTCCAAGCAAAGGATATTCTAGGTTCAATTTCTTCACCTCCCATAGCAAGAGGAGGAAGAATAATGAAAAACTTTAACATAAAGTTGAAAATAAAAATATAGTTTTCTAAGAAAATTGTTTTTATTTATCTCAGTGATTTTTCAATTCACCATTTGCAGTAATTGTATCTTTTCATTGGACTTCTCCGCTCCTGTTTTAATATATTTTTATACATTATATATTAATATATACATTTTTAAAGTGTCAATTTTTTAAAGTCATAAAACAATACAAATTTTGGACAACAGATTAACAATACAAATTTTATCAAACCAAAGCAGACCAAGATGCAAGTATAAATCCAACTGGTGTTTACCTGTAGACTCGAGTACAAGTTTGACCAATTTTTACCTGTAGACACGAATACAAGTCTGACCAATTTTTACCTGTAGACTCGAGTACAAGTCCGACCGGTGTTTACCTGTATTGATTTGCTAAGCGTAGCTTAGATGTGGCACAAGGCCGAAAGTATGGGGCATCTAGTGAGGATCAAACTCACTTTTCAGTCGTAACTGATCTAGCAAGACAAGCTTGCTAACCATTACACCATGCCGAGGTGCCCCCGGTGTTTACCTGTAGACCTGAGCACAAGTCTGACCGGTATTTATCTGTAGACTCAAATACAAGTCCAACCGGTGTTTACCTGTAGACTCGAGTACAAGTCCGACCTGCAGACTCAAGAATAATTCTGAAGAAGAGTTTGCTTTAAACTAAAGACTAGAATTGAATCCAGAAGTATTGATATTAAAGGATCTTTTATTTTGTTTTCTAATTTTATTGTTAATTATTTTTTTGTCAGAGTGAGTAAAATTATTAAATATTTGACTTTACAACAGCACTGTAATTTCTGATATTGTTCTTTTTTTTTTTCTCTTCTAATTTTTAGGTGGAGAAATTCATCCACCTCTCATGTCCAATGGTGCATACGTCGGCTGCATAAAAAACTTGCAGATTGATAACCGCCCGAAATCGCTGTATGGAAAAGCCAATGGCAATGTTCAGTTAGGCTCCTGTTCCACTTTGTAAAATTAGAAAAATGAAGAACAAATGCAGCATAATGATTAAAAAAAAAAACACGTTTTTTTTTAACCTTGTTAGAAATATTGACCAAACCATTCCCCAAGATTATTTGATACATTTTTCTACATTTTGAATCGTAATTTATTTAATTTACAGGGTATATCACAGCAAAAAAAAAATTCTGATTGCTTCATTCATTTTTATGACTGCAAAATTTTAATTCAGCAAAGAATCACTAAGGAGACTAATTAGTAATGTATCTAAATACCGTAAGGTCATTGCATTTCATTTTTTTTTTAACTGTGAAATTAGTATCTACTGGCCTAGAAAGTTTTACTGCTGAAAGGCACATTCTTTAGACGGGTAAAAATTAATTCTTCTAATTCCATGTACTGTGTCCCTTCAGGACGTTGGCAATCATGGCTCTCCACCATTTCCTGTCCTTTGTAGCTCTTAATAAACTGTCTTTTTGTTATCTCTGTTAAACCTTGTTTCACCATCCATTTACTAAAGCTTGCTAGGTAAGTTGTTTTCCTTTGTCTCTCTTGCTATCAGTCTGTTCTGTTAGTATCAAATTTTCCAAACCCTCTTCTTCATTATGTGCCTGAGACACACTTTTAAAAAGTCAAACATATTTCATCAAATACGTATACTCACTAAATACAAATTTTATAGTAATATGAAAATTATATATATATCTATATATATATATATATATATATATATATATATTCTTTTCTTAAACAAGTTTTATTAAACCATACTGATAACCTGTCTGTTCAGAGAACATTTGGTTTGTCACTAAAAGTCATTATCAAGAATTGTATGTTTAGTCTTCTTAAACACACAATTTTTTGATAACAACTATAATGATAGTCAAAAGTACTCTGAACAGACAGAGGTTGTCAGTTTTGTTTAATAAAAATGTTTAAGAAAATATATATGCATTTATTTATATATATATATATATATATATATATATATATATATATATATATATATATAAAAGGTCATTTTCAATACAATTATTTCTACTTCAAATTAAAAGGTCACTTTCAATAAAAATTATTTCTATTTCAATTATTGTTTAGGGGAATTTTCAAAAAATGTATTTCTATTTTGATTATTGCTGAAAAACTTTTTTATTTCAAAAAATAGTTCCATTACAAATATTATTTAGGGGTCTTTTCAAAAATCATTTCGATTGATTCAAATATTGATAACAGTCAAAAACATTTCTACACAGATTGCCAAAATATTAGAAATATTTGAAAACATGATAATTCCTCAACTACTAAAATAAAATACATTTTTGAACAAAATTGCTTTCAACTGAAAAAGAATGTCTCAGCAGGAAAATTTAATAAAGGAGAAATAATCAAAATGCTCATTTTGCAATGTGTTAGATTCAAGATATTTTTTCTTTAAGTTTTTAAACTAATTACCTTGTTCATCGTATCTGTCTTGATTGAAAGAAAAATGTAATAAATTTTTTTAAAAATCTAATAACTTTATCCAAAATAAAAGAACTGTATGTTTAACAATCAAAAATAAAGTAAAAATATCTTTTTATGTAAAGAGTCTGTATTTTTTTAACCAAAAGAATTCTCAAAATTCCAGAAAATGTTATTTGCTTGTTTCTTAATTATTTTCCCCCAAGCAGTGCTTTTTTTTTTTGTCCTACACCCTTCCTGGTTGTCCAAGATGTCCAATACTGCAGCTGATCGATAAGATGATCGCTTCGATCTAGGTCCTGCCTTATCCCACATTATGATTTGCTTTGGTCATAAGGCGGCCAAGATTAAATATACTAGGCTGGTCCAAGCAGGATAAAGATGCAAAGAAAGAAAATAACACTTAAATAAATTTTAAAAAAATAAATACTATTTTTATATCAAGTCTTTTGTACAAAAGTTGCTTTAAAGTCTAGGAGTTCACATGCAGACAATTATCGACCCAACCCACTTCTAAGTCAGACATGATACTTTGTTGACATGGTAAAGTTTATTTTTGCTGACTTGTTAAAGTTTGGCACAAGGCTGGTGTCAGAGATTCTCATCAACAGATAATCACATGGGGTGTCTCTCATCTGGTGGCTGAAATGATCTCTCTCCCTCATCTCACCATCTTGCTTCAGAGCATTCATGGCAGAGTTGGAGAATGTGGTATATCCTCCTCTTGTCATCTTCATTGTTGTAGGTCCTGAGAATTAAATTACTTCATAATTTTAGGGAAATCCCTTCTTCCACAGGTGATGCTTACAAGTATCTACCTCATAACTTCCACTTCCTCTTATTATTATCTCCCACTAATCCTCTTCAGTGGGCATGGGTGGCTCCTCCACTTTCCTTGGTGACTCATCTGTGCCTGCTACCTCAGGCACCCTCTGACCAGTAACAATTAATTCTAAGTTTGTTGTTTATGCAGAAAAGTTTCCTGTTCATAGCTCATATTTTAGCTATGTGTGATAAGTGTCAATTATTGTTGCCATTTTACATGTTGCAGTTCAAATCCACATCAACTCTATGTGTTTTTATTGTTAAAAGCCCTGATACACCATGGGTGGTTTTCCCACCTTCCTTGGTGGGAAAACCTTCCTTCCTTCTGTGCTCACTACCTTGTCAACCCTCCGACCAGTAAAGATTAATTCTTAGTGCGTTGTTTACACAGAAAAGTTTCCCATTCATAGCTCATATTTTTAGCTGTCTGTGATAAGTATCAATCATTGTTGCCATTTGACATGTCGCAGTTCAAATCCATGTCAACCTATGGTGTTTCATTGTTAAAAATTCCAACACACATTTCAGATGCCTGTCTACATGAGAGTTAAAATCTTCAATTTTTCCCACAGGGTTTATTTATTAACCCTTCTTATTTATCAAGGGTCTGTCAGTATATTGCTCCTTCTATTAAAAAAACCTTCTTATGATTACCAGTAACAAATAGTGTAACAGGCAATAAAGCCACTAGGACATCAGGGGCTACTGTGTGTTAAAGAATACAGAAAAAATATACTATTAAGGAGAGAAAACAATAAAAGAACAGCCATTAAGAAGACAGAAGATAATGATTTAAATTTTTGAAGATCAAAGTTGACAGGGAAGTCACAAGCTGGAAGAGAGTTCCATAAGTGAGAAGTGCAAGAGAAGAAACTGTTAGCATAGAACTTACGATTACGTCTAGCCATTTCAACTGTAAAATGATGAGACCTTGTATTGTTTAAATTCATAAAGTCTAGTTTTTTATTGGTTCAGTTTTTATTCTTGGTACTCTTATTCCAATTCTGCTTGTCCGTCCCTCGATTTGCACGACCATTACACCTTGCCAGTACCTCATAAATAACAAACTATTACATTTTGATTCTGCGGAAAGACAGAAAAGACATATCAGAGATGCTACTTAGTTTCAGGGAAAGAAAGAAGTGTTTAACATCTGTTTCAGTGAAATGGAAAAAGTTGCTAATTTCAAATTTTTTCTCATTTGTACCCCCTTACTTCTTTAAATAACGACCAGCATTCATATTTATGATTGTTATTGAAATATTTTGTTAAAGTTTTTACGGATATTTTATTGTTGTGGAATTTGTCAAGAGCTTATTCAAACATTAACTTAACTCTTCATTAGTCACCTCAGATATCTGCAAAATGGATAGTCCCCTGGCATTTGCTTTCCATGACAACTGAGCTACAAGTGCATCATACTACCTACTACACACCCTCACTGAATCACAAGAGTAACGGGATGGAGCAAAAGAGACAAGTTGTCAACTATGGATTATGAGTACTTTAAAAAATTTGGTAGTAACAGAACAATACATATGACTAGTGCAGGCTTAAGAATGAAGATTTATCAGAAAATTAAAATAAGAAAACTGAAATTTCCACAAGTATTTCTTGTTAGTCTGTCTATATTTCTGAGATGAGGAATTATGTACAGTATTTACATTAGGACATTAGTATTTACATTATTTAAGATGAGGACAATAGTCCGACTAATGTACATACTGTATTTCTTGTTAGTATATGAAGTAAGGGGGAACAACTCTTAATTGATTAGTGATAATAATAGGAGTTCATTCGCCATGTACAACACTTATAGTTGCATCTGTAATCAATCAGTTTATGTAAAGATCCATCAGTGAAGATGCATGCATAATAAAAATTGACCTTTTTTTTCAATAGGAAAAACAAAAAGTTTCTTGTTTTAATTCAGCATCTGTTGATATGCTGAGAGCAAAATAATCAAATTTAAAACCCAAATTACTTATATTTAAAAATATTAGATTTATTAGAAAAAATAATCATTTCGCCCCAAACAAGGCGATAATGCCACTAAGATACAAAAGGTTACTGGGATTGAAAGAGAATGTGAAGACATTAATGAGGAGAAAGAACAACAAAAGAACAGGGTTCAGGAAGAAAGAAGATTGCGATTGACGATGCAGTTACATTTTTGAGGAATATAGTTGGCAAGGTAGCAAACTGGAAGAGAGATGCACTGATTAAAAGTGCAAGAAAAGAGACTATTAGAATAAATACACCTATAGCTATTTCAACAGTAAAACAATGACACCTATTTGCTAAACTTGTAGTTTGCTTAAATTCATGCAGTCAATATACCAAGGAGGAGAGCTCATTACAACAATTGCCATGAAAATATTTATAGAAAATACAGAAGGAAGCCATATCAGAGATTTTGTAAAAATGACTGAAATTGTGGATTTTAGGTCAGGATCGTGTGGTGAACAGGGAAAATCACCTACCCACAAAAAGAGTTTATGTTTGGTGCATGGTTTGCTGAAAAAAAAATAGAAAAAAAATCCTAGATAATTAATTTCTTAAGAATAACTCACATGTGGTCATTTTTTTTTATCCTTCCCGATTATTATGACCAATTACAAAATTTACTTTCCCAATAAAATCTGTTGCTTTTCTTGATGAGGAGGAATGTATTCTTTTCATTTCTAAGAGTGTGTTTGCTGTATTAGAATCTGTAAGATGGATATT